GCTAACCGAACTCAAATGTTGTAGAGAAAATCATGTAGTTCAAGATTTTTATAGCTTTTTGAACAACCTTTCGTTTACAGTTGACTATAATCCATCTCCAGAAAATAAAGTTTTTCACAAAATCATCGCGCCTTATATCTCGTCCTGGCAAAGCGGTTTAAGCGAGATCCGTATAAATAGCCATTATTCAGCAAATTGCGTATGCTCCCTGTCTTTGATCCCTTGGGGTGAGGCAGCACTTTCATTGCGATAGTAACTTCTAGTACATATAATATATTACATGGCCAATATATAGCTCACGATTTCACAGTCCACTTGCTAATCCCATGACGCGATTTATAATACATTTCACCCTATAAAATATCTCACTCCCACAATATGCTTGCAGGCGCGGATCCAGCCTAAAACCTGACCGTGGCTCCCTCCAAAACCGCGCATAACGGAAAATTTTTGAAATTTGAACCCCGGAAAGTTGTAATTATCTGCGTTACGCAGTATAGCAAATAATTGCTATCTAATTGTTTGATATGCAGAATAATGTTCATGCAATTAGCATTTCTTTGTTATACAAATGCTATATAAGCACCAACGTTATCGTTGTTCGCTCTCGCTGCTTTCACGTTACACAGTTAAACATGGCTCAGACCGATGTTCCAGCTGATATGAAGGACTTTATGGAGAAATCTTTATCCCAGATGTGTCGCCAACTTACATCTGTTGTGGACGACAGGTTTACGCTTATGAAGAGAGAGTTATCCGCTGAAACTTCAGCAACTCTTGGTGCGATTAGTAGCAAAAAAGCTCGCTTGGATAAACACGTATTCAAGTAAAAAGGGAATGAACAGCAATACCAGCATCAGCTTGGGCTTCTCGACACCTTTGACGGCGTCGCCACCGCACTTGAAAACCACGATACAGATAAAGTTATGTCTCTTCTCCAAGAAGGTAAAGCCGCTATTCATGGCCGGATCAAACTCATCAAGTTAGCTGATAAGAGTGAGCATGGCTGGCAGACTGTTGCTG